GTACTGGGAAAAATCCCCTGATTCTACTCTCGACTTTGTGGCAAATGCAATGTCTCGAAGCCGTTTCATATTTATCGTATAGAATATTCATTGCTGTGACAATGCAAAATTAGATACACATGACAAATCAAAGGTTTGACCACCGATTGTTGTAATGAATCAAAAGTTTCTCGATTTAGTACCACAAGAAGAACACCACAGCTTGGATGAGTCAATGGTTCCGTATTATGGATAACATGGATCCAAGCAGTTTATCCGTGGTAAACCTATCATATAGGCAAATAAGTTTTGGATGAGGACCACTAGGCTAGGTTATGTGGAGTGGATTGATCTATATCAGGGATCTTCATCCACTATTCAAGATAAATATAAACTTTTTGGTTTGGGACCTAGTGTTGTCTTACAATTTGTTGATGCCCTAGAAGTAAAGGCTTTCAAATTTTCCTATGATATATATTTTGACAACTATTTTACCACGCTGCTCTTTTTGGAAGAACTTACATCAAGGGGATGTAAAGCAACAGGTACAATAAGGGAAAATCGCCTAGGGAAAGATTGTGACATTGAGGCTTTAGACACACTGAAAAATATAGAAAGGGGTTCGTTTGACTACTGTACTGCAGAGGAAAGTGAAATAGTAGTTTGCAAATGGAATGACAATAATGTTGTTTCCATAATCTCCAATCACAACAAAATATATCCAACAACGCAAGTACAACGGTATTCTCAAAAAGAAAAAAAGAAGGGCGTGTTGATCAACCTAATATTATAAAACAGTATAATGAAAACATGAGTGCCGTGGATCGGGCAGATGAAAATATCAGCTACTATAGAGTAACCATCCGTGGCAAGAAATGGTATTTTCCCATAATAGGTTACATAGTGGATCTAGTAGAACAAAATGACTTTCAACTCCATAAAATTATTGGTGGTAAAATGGACCATTTACAGCATCGTCGCACAATTACAATAGGCATTCTTGAATCTTTTAAAAAGAAAGCAAAAAGAGGACCCAGCAAACCTTCAGCCAATTTGCATCGTCACTCAAGATACGATCGGATGGACCACCTTATTGTCTATAAGGACACTTAAACTCGTGCTGCTTGTCACAAAAAATGTAATTTTTGCTGCAATAAATGTAATGCAGCATTACATCCAAAACAATGTTTTTATAAATATCATACAAATTAGATATTTAAGATTTTTTTTATCTTAATTTGTTGAAATATTTAAAATAAAAAACTTCGTTTTAAAATTTTGGTACTTTTATTTATTTTTTATTCACAATCAGTGATTTTGCCACCGGGTTTTTAAAAGGACACCCTTTTTAAAAAATATATTGTATTTTTCCCAAAATTTCTTCCATACTTTATTTCTGTCAACCTTAATAAGCCTAAAAATTAAATATCTCTCTAAAAAATACAACAATAAAAGTTTCGGCCTTAACTGGGTTAAATGTGTAAGTATAATCTTGAATTTAGTCGCACCTTCTCCTCTATTGAGATTGACTACCAGTATGGCAAAGTGTTGTCTATTATGGACATGGTGGATGAGAGCGCTTCCTTTAGTGCTTGTCTAGTTTCTTATATTCTCTAGCCAAGATTTTTTCTTTTTAATACACCACGGTTTCCCTCAATACTTAGTTGTAGTTGTTGTGTTTCTTGTTGTAAAGAAAAGTTAATAAGTGAAATAATTTAAAGTAAATTTTTAACATAAAAGTCAATATTAAACATAAAAATATTATGTGTTACCTTCAGCAACATTAATTACAGTTTCACAGTTCCTTGGCATACTTAAAATTAAATTATCAATTTCATGTTGAAGCAACAGGATTCATTCTTGTTTAAGAAGATCTTAAAGACCTTGTCTAGTATAAACATTGTGCAGATGGGGAGCAATCTCTCTTTGAAGCATATCCCATATATGCACGATAAAAAAAATAAAGTTGAAATTATCAGCATAAGCCCCAGGATTCGCCCGTTCTGACTCATAAAGAAAAACCAAGCCAAAATACCAAAGAGCTAATATGTAAAAGAAGACAGCTGATGGAAAAATACCGCTTCAACTACACAACAATGAAGAAATTAAATAAAGATATGCACCGGTCAATCCGAAAAGACATACGAGAAAACAATACAAGAGGAATAACTTAAATAATTCAAGAAAACAAAAGATTGAAAGTTTTGAGGCAAAAAACATAGGCAACAAAAATATGTACAAAATAAAAACAAAGAAAACATTTCTACTGATAGAACCAAAATCCTTGAGGTTGTCGAATCCTTATTCCAGCTCATATCATAAGCTCACATATTGTAAGCACACTTAATGCTGCACATGTTCTTATGTCCACCTTAATCTGAGTAAACGATTTCTATGACGTAACATGAGAACCCCCAGTGGACGTCTGGCGTGCAAGTCAATTTCATGTTATCTATTCCTGAAAGTTTGGCCACATACAGTAATGTTGTTTAAGTTTAACTTATATCCTGAAGAAATTTTCCAAAACACGCTCAATAATATCGAAACGGGAGTCACCGTTAACGGAAAATTAATTAACAACTTAAGATATGCAGACAAAACTAACTGTGAACATAGCAACGAGTATAGAGGATATACAAGATCTTATCGAAAGCTTGAGTATCAATAGTGCTGAGATGGGAATTACTATAAACGCTAAAAAAACGAAGTACATGCTAACTACATCAAGACAACAAAATATAAATCACTTATTGACAATCAATGGTAACATGATAGAACAAGTAGAAAAATCAGTATTTGGGAACTTTGATCAATGAAACCAATGATTATACTGTAGAAATAAACAGGCGAATAGAGATTGCCAGATCAGCATTTATACGACTGAAGTCACTCCTAACGTGCAAAAATCTAAATTTGAAGATCAGACTACGTACCGTTCGCTGTTACATATTTTCAATATTATTATATGGAGCTGAGACTTGGACATTAAAAAAATGTAGTTTAAAAATAATCAAAACCTTCGAACTCTGGTTATACCGCAGAGTATTGAAAATGTCATAGACTGATAGAATTACAAATAAAGAAGTACTGGAGAGGGTTGGTAAAGAAACAGAACTAATCACCACTATACAAACCAGAAAACTGGGATACCTAGGCCACGTGATGAGGGGACCAAAACATGAAATTTTTAGACTCACAATACAGGTCAAGGTTCAAGGAAGAAGATCTGTTGGCCGAAGACAGAACTCATGTTTAAAGAATCTAGGAACTCTATTTCCGTAGGGAGACGGCACTCTAAGAAGAAGTAATGTTGTAGGCATTTTATACGGCTCTATATGAGAATAGTTCATGTGCAGTCATGTACACCATTCGACGAGCTAATCCTACCATATACCGACCCTGTCGAGTAGTTGCGAGTAGTTGCGCATTGACAAGCTCTTTGTCTTTTAGCCACATTACCAAATTGTTCATATCGACGCTACAATCGGGAAATCACTCTCTGAGACACGTCAAAATGACGTAAAACATCAGCTTGTGAAAGATCAGCCTGAATCTAGTCAGAGCACTTACCATTTTATAATGTGTACAGCTTCAGACTATCTTCGAAATTTGAAGCACTATTTCTTTAAAATCTAAAGCACTTAATCGTTCAAATTTGAGGCGCTGTCACTTTTGCCTTAATAAAACACTGCAATTGACAGATTAACTTACATGGCAAAACTTGATTTGTAGATACCAACTTTTAAAATCAATTGGTATGTAGTAACAAGAAAGTTTTTAAGTTTTTATTGAAAAAAGTTGAATAATAATAGTTTCGTTCGCGGAGATATTCCCTAACTGGTTTCTTACTGATTCTCATGCGCACTTCTGAGAGTACAGATTTTTGGAAACTGTAAATTGTCAGATTTTTTGTTTATTTTTTTTTGTCAATCATTAATACTAACTAACCTATTATTTATTTTTGTTGAGACGTGGCAATAGAATCTTTATGTTCTACATCTTTAAATAAATATAGCTAAAACTTTCATCTTTCTAGCGATATAAATAAATAAGATTAAAAGTAAGTATTTAACATTTTATTACATTATAAAACCATGAAACTAAAACAGTACACTCAATATTTATCGGTATTAAGGAATTATTGTTATGTGCAGATGAAAATTCTTTTCTATATTATTTTCTATATTAATCAAATTCTTTTAACCAAAGGAATCAATATACAAATCCACTAGGAAACTAAGTTCTTGTAGCTGGCTGTATACCATATATCACAAAAAATTTATTTCAAATCCTTTATAAAAGGTATATGATAAAATGCCCAAAGGGGCTATCACAATTATATTACAATACGTTTTCGGATTGTTAAATCCATCATCAGTGTAAACCTGAAAGTAAATAACGACTTAAATTAAAAAGAACGTTGAATTTAAAATGTTGACCAAGGTTAAAGAAAATTGTGGTTAATACTTACGAGGTATACATGCTATGAGCCACCAAAATATATGGGTCAAAACCCTTTAAATGATATAAATTTACATTTGTTTTACATTATATATGGTTACAAATTATGATGTTTAAATTACCGTTGGAATTGGTAACATGGCGACGTATGACCCTACATAGGTAAACTGGTAAAATGGTCTCAGGAAAAATATTCCAATTAATAAAATGAATTTGAGGAGACAACTTTATTGCCGTTTGACATTAATTTCCTTATTAATTTGATTGTATTCGATGAAGTTTAAAATTTGGTTACCTATGTTGACTTTATTTTGAATGGATTTCTCAATATAACTTTGCGCCACTGTTGTAGATTTCCATCCACCGTGACGTTTTAATGTTATTATAATTACCCACAGAATCTACTAATATTGTCAGTTTGTTTTATTGTTTATTCAATTGATTAAAATATATATTATGATGTAAATCTGTATGATAATAAAGAACTTTATAAAACAGGTATTAAAACTGTATTTGATATATTAAAGTATGAGAATAAAAAAGCAATCTTAATATTACAGGAACACACCGACAGCGGTAACAGTACTTATGGGAGTGTACAACCCTACCAGTCTTGTAAATGTTCAAAGTAGCACAGTAGCAAGAATAGCTGTTCATCCAAACTTCGTAGCTACTACCCTATTTAACGATATAGCTGTATTACAGCTAACGCAACCAATCGTGCTTGGAATTTATGCCGATATTAATACTGCGTGTCTTCCAGCTGCTGGAACTTCATTTGTGGGACAAGCGTAAGTTTTTTTACTTATAGAGTTAGTTATATAAAATAATACAAAATTGTTTTTATTACGTCTTACATTTTGAGATTGGCCAACTAAATTTAAGTATAAAGCAAAAAAGGAAGTAAATGAAACTGTTTATTTCACAAACCTCATTAGTGATATACTGTAATATGAAAAAGATTCGTGAATAATACAGGAGCGAGTCTAAAATGACCATCAACTTATTTAACAGGTTGACTGCCATGAGTACCACATGTGGTATTCAGTTAACTTGCCATTTATGCTACAGCTCTTCTAGAGCATGTTGACCCATGAGGCCATGACGATTTTTATTTATTATTTTAATTTAGTCTTTTGTACAAACCTTTTGGGGGTTAATTAATATCTTTTTAAGCATTTCACACCATTTTTTAACCTGATTACCTATTCGCTCCGTGGGTTTCCCCTCTATTTACAGTCACGTGACACGCTGTCAGATTTGTGAGGACATTTTAGTATTGAGTCTTATGGGATTATTTTGTTAAACTTAAATATTTTATTTTGTAGTGTTAATATCCGGATACAATTTTTAGAATTAATTAGTTATCTATTTATAGTAACATTTATAGTTCAACAAAAATATTTTTTGTCGTTAATAAAGATTTCTTAACATAATCTACGAAAGTGAGGTTATATATACATGATCAACATCCATGGTACAATGAATATGTTCATTGTACCATGCACAAAAGCGTCCTGATAAAATTTCGAGCAATCGCCACCATGAGCAGGTCAGTCGATTTTGCTTTGACACTTTGTTAACCCTCGAAGCGAGCTACTCGAGGTACCCACGAGTGATGTTTTTCTCAGGGGCCATGAGAGCCACCTCTAGTACACACAATAAAATACTATATTCTATTATTTATCGACCTGCAGATTTCTGTAAACTAAAATTGGTAATATTTTGGGTTGATAACCACAAATGTCTATCCTATTAGTATTGGAAAATATAGAAAAAGCTTTTTGCAAGTACTAACAGGTAATTTAGTTATTTGTCTGTTGTTGCTTTGTGATACAGTCGCGATTGTAAATTATTGTAATAATGAATTCCAAAGAAGAGAAGAGATTACTGCATTTGTTTGAGACTGTAGAATCACGAAGTTTCATGACAGTGATGCGGATCCAGAGTATGCACTAGATAGTGAAGATTCAGACAGTGAGATTGAAATAAGTGAAAATGAAGTTTTGAGAAATGAAAAGTTACATAATGAGCAAGAACCAGCCCCTGAGAATGTTCCCATATCTAAAGATTGGCAAATACCTGATCAGTATGATTTCCAAAGATGTAGGTGTAAACCCGGATTTAACAGAAACAATGCAAGATGCCCGCCCTTTTTATTTCTTTTGTTTGTTTTTTTATGAAGAAGTGGAATCTCAATAATGTCTTGAAAGACCCAATATAAAGAGGAGTGCAAGAATTAAAAGCTGAATGCTGACAAATCGACAAAAAATGCATACCTTTTTAGGCATACACATGTGGATGGGTTTTAGTAGATATGCCCTCTCTGGCTCATTATTGGAAAAACACACAGTTATATAATAGCAAAATGACAGTCTTTATGGCGGGAAACCAATTTGAGTTGATTTTGAGGTACCTACTATTATAACATTTTATATTTTAGGTTTTAATTACTAAAATATATAGTTATTTTCAGCATGTTTCATATTTCGGATAACTCAATACAGGTCGGAGATCGGCTTCACAAGGTACAACCCCTTATTGACTTGCTAGTGGATAAATTTAATCACTGTGTAATTCCTGAAATGTCACTGTGCATAGATGAGTCGATGGTACCATTTAAAAGGTAGGCTAAGTTTTAGGCAGTACCTGCAAAATAAAAGGCATCGGTATAGGGTTAAAATTTTTAAGTCCTGCACCGAACCTTTTTACACTTTGCAGTATAAAGTTTATGCTAAAAAGAAAGCTCAGCTTGGTACATCTGTATTCTCTAAAGTGGTTATAAAATTATTGGAGCCATATTTAGATTTTGGTAGAACACTATATGCGGACAACTGGTATAATAGTGCCACTTTGGCAAAAACATTACTGGATAGACAAACCTTTTTAGTAGGGAAACTTCGAGCCAATAGGAAACGCAATCCAACTAATGTAACTGAAATAAAACTAAAAAAAGCTGATGTTGTTGCAAGGCAAAATTATAATGGTGTAATGGTTTTAAAAGGGAACGATCGGCGAGATGTTCTTGCTATAAGTTCGAAGCATATGCCTTCTATGGTAAATCTGATACAAAGAAGAGAAGACAAACTTAAACCATAGATTATAGTAGAATATAATGCAGGAAAATCCTTTATAGATGTATCGGATCAAATGAATTCGTATGATTCATTTTCAAGGAGTTCATTGAAGTGGTACCGAAAAGTTGCCTTTGATATTTTACTAAATGCTGCCATTGTAACTGATTATCAAAGATATGCTTATTAAACGCGGTTATGTAATGCTTGCTAATAATTTACACAATTTAGTAAAATGCCTAAAAAGAAACCGTTGCAACCAATGCTATTGTTAACAGGCATGGAAGACAAACAGCACAGAAGGAGACTCCCCGTGTATGGACAAAGTGTTTTGCTTGCACGAAATATTTGTGTTCTAACTGCTTTTTTAGGGTTCATTCTGCCAAACTGCAGTAATTTTTCTTTATTAGCGTTTATGTTAAGTTGTCGACTATTTTTTGTACCGTTTTTTAGAGTTATGCTATTTGTTAAATAAATATTTAAGCTAAAAAAAACGTTTTTATTACACTTTGATAAACGACCTTCATAAAAAGAGTATAATACCATCTAGCCCAATGCAAATGCCTTCAATGCCTGCAATGCCTGCAAATGCCTTCTCAAAATCGATGAAACAGGCATATACTTCCTGATTAATATCTAAGCATCTTTGCGAACTTACTGTAAACAGTGCATCTCGTGTTCCCAGTCCTTTCCTAAATCCCATTTGTGTATTACTTATGCCTTCATCTAATTTCTTATGTATTCTATTGTGAATTACTTTTAAAAACAATTTTAAGACATGACTCATTAAGGTTATGGTGCGATGTTTATTGCACTCGTTTGCATTGGCTTTTTTGGGAAGCAGTATGAATGTTGATTGAAGCCATTCTTTAGGTATTATACATGTTTTATACATGTTATTGAATAGATCCAAAAGAAGATCAATTAATTTAGTATTCACAATTTTGAGTAATTCGATAGGAACTTCATCAGGCCCGGGAGATTTACAACCTTTAGCTTGTTTCATTGCGTATTTAATATCTTCTCGTATAATGTCAGGCCCAGTATCATCCTTAAATTCTTTTGGTGCCTCTGTTCTCTCTTTGTCTTCAAAAAATTGTGCTATATATTGTGTCCATCTCTGCATTTTTTCGTTTATATCTGTTATAAGTGCACCACTTTCATCTCTTAGTTGCCTAGTTTGAAGTGTTTTTCTCATTCTTGTTAATTATCTGATTCTTTTATGCATGTTAAAAAAGTCATATTTTTTCTCAATTTCTTGTAGTTCTTGGCACTGCTCATGTAACATTCTCTCCTTAGCTTCTTTTATTCTCTTTTTAATTAATCGATCAGTTTCATTATATTTAATTGGATTTTTTGTTCTGAATGATTTTCTTTCATTCATTAATAGTAGTATTTCTTCAGTCATCCAGTCTCTATGTTTTCTATTCTTTGGTTTTAAGTTTTCATTTGCTGTAGTGATTATTACTACTTTTATATTTTCCCATTTCTGATCAGTGTTATAGCTACTTTTATTCAGTTCTTGGACATTACGTAGATTTTCAGTAAGAGTTTTTACAGTTTGTTCCTTTGTTTGTGGTTCTTTTAATCTCTTAATCAGTTCTACTTTGTGTGGGATTTTTAACCAGTTTCATGTCTTTCGTAATGTGACTACTATGGAGTTATGATCTGAACTGATGTCTGCTCCAGGGTAACTTTTGGCAGACAGTATAGAATTACGAAATCTTTGTCTAATGAGAACAAAGTCAATTTCATATCGGATTATTCTATTCGTTGTATCACCGGGATATTTACATGTAAACAATCTTGTTTTTGGTAGCTTAAAAAGTGTATTAGCTATTACAAATTCTTCCATCTGGCAAAATTGCATCAAACGGTCACCACATTCATTTCTAGTTTCTAGACCATATTCCCCCACATATCCATCCACTCTTCCCTGGCCAACTTTGGCATTGAAGTCGCCCATTACTATTGTAGTGTGATGTTTCTTCATTGATTTTAAGACTTGTTCCAAATCATGGTAAAATAGTAAAATAAGTAGCAAAATATTACAACTAAAAGATGTCAAAGCTTCTGGACCTGACAATGCGTATTATGATGAACTCGTAAAGCTATTAACACCGATGGTATTCAATGATTAACAACAATATTCAATTACATATATTTAAACGGAGTAATACCAAGATTATGTCTGAGGTCAACGTTTATTGCTCTACCAAAGAAAACACAATTCGTATCCTGCAATGATTTTCATACCATTAGCTTAATAAGCCACATTTTAAAGTTTTTTGTAAAAATTATGCATCAAAGGATACATTAGACTACGTGAAGGAAAAATCAGCCATACACAGTATGGTTTTCGGAACGTTTTGGATTGGACATTTTCCATAGGAAGCTATTTCTTTGCTGGAATCCCTTAAGAATACGCCAGTATCGATAATCACGATATGCACCAGTCGCAAACCCTGTGCTAAATTTTTTATTTAACAAAATCTGAAAACAATTGAAAATTTCTCATTTGTTTGCTCTAATTTTCATTTTTAATTCGGAAAATAGTGATCCTAGAGAAAAAACTATAAGGAGTTAAAAGTGTCGTTATTCAATTTTACACAATATTTTGTTAGCTAGAAATTGAAAATTTAATGGTTATTGTTGAAAAAATAGCAATAATTGGAAAAAAAAGTACAAAAAAATGAAGTTAATCCTTTAAATGTTTT